TCTTTATTTTTATATTCGATGATCTGAGTCGCAAAAGTCGGCGTAAAAAACTGGAGGAGAAAGGAAATTTACGAATGGGGGTACCAAACGTAGAATAATATGTAAAAAAAAAAAATAAATGGTGAAGGAGAACAAGGAAGGACATAATGGTAAAAACAAATTGTCTAAAGTCTACGGTAACTGTGTACTACTCTTTTATTCACTCTTTCACTTGTCAGAAAATTAAGCAGCAAAATTCTTTTATCCATCGTATTTTACGGTTAAACTAATAAGATGAAGAGTAAATAAAACAAAAAATTATTTTTTTCTACAAACGGTCAATTTATAAAATTAATTTAATCTGTATCTTGAAATGTACGAATAACAATGATAATAACCTTCCTCCCTCATAGAATGAAAACATGCTTAGAGCTAGAACTGGGGAAGTAACGATTCTTCTTCACAAAACTTGCAAGTTTGAAAAGCTTTTTTATTCTCTCTCTCTCTCTCTCTCTCTCTCTCTCTCTCTGACCGATGCGTGCCGCTCACCCCAAAACCACGAGGAGACAGTGCCTAATTCAATTGGCCGCGCGTCCTTCGTTCCGCAAACACTCGCGATAATTCAATCCAAGTTTCATTCCTTCTTCTCCTTCTCCACCTCTTACGCCACCTACTCCTCCTCCTTCGCCTCCTTCTCCCCTCCTTCACTCATCGCCCCAACCATGACCAAGCACGACCGGAAAAAAGACGCACATGCGCGCAAAAGGGAACTGAAACGCCACTGAGCATCTCCGTCTCTCTCTTTCTTTTGCTCCAACACTCACCCTCGTAATCCGTAGATGAGAACATCTGCACCCTAATCGGCTGATGATTCCTATCTCGGATACTGGACTGCGCATGTTCAAATGAACATACGAATAAGTGAAAAACGTGTGGTACCCCTCCACTTCTAATACGGTATTCGCGAGCAATAATATTTTTAAAATCTTCACCTTACACATGCTCGTTCGTATTTTCTTAAAGTCCCCTATTTTTTAAATTGTATAGAACGTGTGCGTGTTTCTAGACTTGGTAGCTCGTGCCAATCAATTATTTATACTCGTGTATTTTAAATGAGAAAGAGTGATAAAGTGCTTTCTTTCGCATTAGAATAAATTATTATGTCGGACGAAAAGTAATATATTGCTAATGATTTCGACACACTCCACGACTTTAGACTGTTTAGATACGTAAAACCCGAGAACATTCGTGCTGAAGCGATCGGCATATCAAATTGGATCGAGCCACGTCTCCCAGGATCTTCGAGACACCTTGCGTAACGCGCGCGAAAATAATAACGCAACACCACCGACTGCTTTTTCATCTATAAATAATGATTTATTGGACTTTATAAAGCAGCTCCAAGCAGCTTCGATGTCCGCGGAATAAATCAAGCCCGCCTCCTCCCCCTTTCCTGCCACCGCTTTCCTCGTCCTCTTGACAGTCACGTTCGATGACCCTACGCTCGGGCACTTTGCCCGATTAATTCCGCACGTCTATTCGTAAATTATATCCGAAGAGTTGGGCTGGAAATTCGGGTGAGGTTTTCGATGGCAATGCCTGACAAGTGCGGTTGTAGTATCGGATAACTTGCCAAATTACTGTTGGTAATCAAAATCATCGATGATTACTTGGAACTACCTAGAGTAGTAATATGACCGCATGTGCTCAGCTAATGACCAGGAATAATGGAACATTCGGATTGGCTATTGACACACGTAGGTGCTACAAAGTATTAACCTACCATTTAGAGATGTAGTGGTAGTGTAACGGTGTATAGCAGATACAAATTAATTTCACTCAGCTCCAGAATACGCTTACACATATTTTGCACAATGTTTTTTTTTTTAATTTTTATGCTAAATTTAAAAAATAGTACTACAATCACCACAATTATGTCAGCAAGGATATTACTTTAATAACAGATGTCATATATTACGTCGAATATAATAATTGACAATAATTATTTACGAATATCTTATCATCGTACATAGAAGATACATCAAACTTTATAATATGTTAATATAGAATTCACATATATAGAGCTATGAATAAAAATTATAATTCTGGTACGCTTTTTTAAATATAAAGTAATGAAAATATATCGGGTAGAAAACCACTATATACTACAAGAAATAATAATAATAATAACAATAATAATAATAATGGTAATCGTCATAGTAATAAAAATTGATAATAATAATAGTAATAGTAGTAATAATATGATAGTAGGAGTAATCGTAATAGTAATCGTAATAGTTTTAGTATTAGTAATAGTAATAGTAATAATAATAATAATAATAATAATAATAATAATAATAGTCATAATAATAATAGTCATAATAATAATACTAATACTGATGATGATAAGATTTTTCAAAATGTGATAATCCCATGCTGCCTACTTATCTCTCATGCTATCTAAACTTATTTAAATTTTCAATTTTTATAAAGCGGTAGTAAATTTTGATATTTATAGGAGTTTTATTGTCATAATGTCACAGAGAACAGTGTCTAAAAATAATTTTTCAGTCTTTTAATAATGAGTACGAAAATACTTGGTTTTAATAAAAATGATTGCTTTAATGCACTAAAACTTGGGCACCATCAGTGATTGTATCGATTTTCATTGTAAAGAAATTTATTAAAATAAAAAAGCATGTCGAATATTTTGTTCTAATTATTTATAGTATATCCCACACGTAATTAGAATGTTTTCAAATACATTTAAGCGGTAAGTGTAATTGCATGAGAAATCCAGTTGATGCTGTTATAACGTCAACAAATCACATCTATTTTAACTACTACATACATAAACTCCTTACACAGTATTATTATAGTGCAACAAGAAAACTTTGCGCCTAACTAAACTTATTAGATGATGACAAAAGGAGCATTAAACTGATCTTATTAAACAGTTGGCTTAATTAAATGAAAAACTTGCTAATCTAAGACTAAGATTAATAGTTCGTCTAAGTGATTCCATCTAATTATAAAAGCATTTTTTCATTTTACTCGATTAATTACAGTTTCGTATACTTATAACAAGTTTTACTGTGTGGCGTAGGATCACCGAATATTTATCTATAAGAGACGTTTTCGGATTTGCACTAAATATCAACATGTTAATGCAGATAATTCTTAAGCAAATAAACAAATTATCAGCTCATTTCATCAAGATTTCATGAGAGAAGTAAAAAAAAATTGTTGAATTTAATTTCGCTTACAGTGCAAATGCCTCTAATCAGCTAATGATTTAATATTTTCACGCAACTGTTTCCACCTTACATTTTATATTAACATAAGTCAAATCGATAAACGTTTGAGAAAAAGAACTTTCGCTCGGATATTATTGGTTGATTACTGTACATTTATATAAAATATCATGAGGAATTTATTGAGGTTAAGGCAACCGAGTGAGTATTAATAAATTCACATTTATAAATGATTATCGTTAACGAAGAACATTAATATTTTTACATATTATAATGTTCAATGAATATAAATCTCAAAATCTGAAGATGTCTAAAGCTGTATTATTCGAAATGCAATAAATTTTGAATTATAGTTAATTAATTGACATCAAATTTTTATGAAGCGCACCTTTGTTGAAGATATTGTAAGAGATAATATAAGGAAAAACTACACATTGTTTTATGAATTTGACACGCCTTATAAGACACCTTTGTTTATGTGTATTTCAGAATTTTAATACTAATTTTCAATATATGTAATACATTAATACCTTTCTTAAAATAATATACATTTACAGTCTATTTATACATCATTTAAATATGCTTTTTGAACAAAATAATTTACTATTAGAAGGTAGTTTTATTTGTATTAAGGTACTTAAATTTTGACTGCCGAATTATTGACATTACCTTTCTGAATATTTCTGTACAATTTCATTTACACTTTGACATTCAAACAATAGTCTTAAAATTCTTTTTCCAATTCTTTAACATAATATACAAAATTACTTCCTTTGTCTTTCATTGAGATTTAATTTGTTTTACATCAACACGATTGCAAACATAAATTAAAATATTTATATAAAATCTCAGAAAAATGAAAACGAGAGAGTAAAAAATAATACTTGTTTCCATATTTATTTTAATCCGATATTTTTAATGGAGAACTTAATACAACTTTTTATTCGTATAATCTACATATTTTAATATATATATAAAGATAAAAAGATAAAAAGGAATGTATATTGAGTATTCATTCCATATTCATATTAATATTAATTAAACGTCGGAGATCCTAGCTTTAAACTTCGAAAAAATCTGCTAAAAACTTTTCAAACAAAGAATAAATTGTCTTCTTTTTGTCTTTTAATGCCAAATATCAATGAATTTTGTTAATATTCCTAGAATTTAGTTGAAAACTTTTGACGTTTATCAAATTTAAAATACCACGTAATTTGCTAAAATACAAAAACTGTCTTTCAATTGTAAATTATGCTTTTGAGACACGTATAACTTGCTTTATAAGTCAGAAATATGGCACTTTCGTTTACCGTTGAAATAGCATTTATATTTTTTATAATAAAATTCTAATCTTACTAGAAATAATTCAAGATTACCGAGATTCAGAGTTAATGAGCAGTGCACGCGTCAAAATTCAACGTCAAATTGTTTATTCTGCCAAAAATCAAACAATTCTCCTTTCTTCGCTGTCTACCCGTCCCCTCCATTCAAATCTTTATCTCATTATAACAATAATTAAAAATTCAACCTCGTTAAGAATTTATCTTCCATCCCGAGCTTACACGAATCATGCCCACTCCCTAAATGTAAAATCATAATCGTTGAGAAAGCGGTCGCGGGCATTAAACGACGTGTCGCACCACTAACTCCAGGCTCGTTCGACTCTAGTACGATACCTCTGTCGTCGCAACGACCTCGGCAAGAGACAAAATACAGGTAAATAAAGCGATAAGGGAAGAGGAGCCGGTCCTCGTACCCACGACTTACTCTGGGACATGGGATCGCCGGCCTCGTCCTGCAGCTTGACCGGCGAGATCTTGAGCGACCTGGGCGGGCCCTGCAGGCCCAGAGGTCCGGGCCCAGCGGCCGTACGCTGCATCGCGCCCGGCGGTCCGCCCCCGGCGCACGGCGATCTGCGCGTAATCTTGGGGCTTGACGGCAAGTAGCGGGGATATTTAACAGTTGCGGCTGAGGGGGGCGCCGCGGCCCACGCACGGCCCCGCGCCCATCCGGGTCACACTCGGCGCGCGTACCTCGTGGGCCTCTGGCAACCCTTGCGTTATTGACGACGCACCAGCTTCGTGAGCGAACGCCGTACGACTCGCGACTCGCACTGACTGACCGACTCGAACTGACGCTCGCGGGCCTCCGCGACCCACGACGAAGCCCTGTCCCGACCGTGGCTGCGTGCGCACCGACACGCCCACAGCCCAAACCCATTGGCCCGCAGGGCTGGCGCCCCTACAAAATGGCCGTCGCCGCTAATAATCGATTCCGACGGGACGGCGGTGACGGTAGCGGCGGTAGCAGAGACAGCGGCCCAGCGGCAACATCAGCGACATCGGCAGCGGCAGCGGCTCTCGAGATAGTGGTAGTGGTGCTGCTGCTGTTGCTGCTGTTACTGCTGCTGCTGCTGCCGTTGCTGCTGCCGTTGCAATTGATGATGATGGTGGTGGTGATGGAGATGATGATGATGGTTGTGGTAGTGGTCGTAGTGATGGTAGTTGTGGTGGTGGTGGTGGTGGTGGTGCCGCTGATGGTGGTGGTGGTGGCGGTGGCGGTAGCGTTAACGGCGGCAGCAGCAGCGGCGGCGGCAACGGCTGTACGGTAATCGTGGATGAAGGGATGCTAGCGGGAGTTTAGAGGGAGGGAGGTGCACTCGCCCTCTTTTCGAGGTCATAGTCGTGGCCCCCGTGGGGTTCATTACGTACATGCCTATTGTTTTACTGAGGATACCGTAGCACCCATTTTTTCTTTTTCTCTTTTCGGTACATCCACTTCCTAGTGCGCTGAACTTCACTGGGGATTTCCCAGCACTGGAAGGCGCTTTCGCGTGGAGGAGTAAAATGGGAAATAGGCGGAATGCATTGCAATTGGAAATTTTACTTGATTGTAGTTCTTTCGAAGCTTTGTCGGCCTTTCCCACTATTTATGAAATTCATGATTATTAACCAAGAAATACGATGATGTAGTCGAATTTATTGTTCGGTTTTATTTATTAATAATAATGATCGGGTCTTTAGGCTTGAAGTATTATTAGCTTTATTTTCGGCATGTTTACATTATTGAGCAAATCGCAAACGTTCAGAATGCACCAAATTTTTTTTGGCTAGCGAATCACAATAATATTTCTTGCGAGTATAATATAGCTTTATATGGTTGGATTAACTGGGTATAGAAGGAAAGCTGCTACCGTGAATGTAACACCGTAAATAATGCCGTAAATTACAGTAAAATGAATGGTAATATTCATCCATCGATTACGCTCATCGCACTTGCACTGTATTAAAACTGCTCGATAGCGATAGACGAATAACTTCTTTCTGTTGTAAGAGATACTTTGTATACGGTATATTTTTACACGTATGGTGTGATTAAATGATTACTTCCAGTAAAGGGAACATTTTACCAGGCATAATGTTGAATTTCGTCACAAAATGATGACTTAAGGAATTGAAGGTATGCTCGAGTTTGAGAATTGTGCGCTCGACAATCTTTCAACACCAGCTTTCAAATGTATATTTATATATATGTATATATATATATATATATATATATATTGGAAGCAAAATTAGATTTATTCACATCTTAATTATCAATTAATTTTAATTAAATAAAAATCTTCTCTTTTAATATTTTGTGTATCGTTTATACTTGTATTGAATATTTTCGTATTTTTCATAGCTTTATTTTTGGATATTTTACTGGAGTTTTCAAAGCGAACAATATTTTCTGTTCTATTTTCGTATTCATATTTGTATAACGCAATATATATATATATATATATATATGTATATGTATTTATGTAACACATACTTTTAGGATACACAGCTTCATGTTTCTGTTTTCATTTTATGCTAGTGTACATATATATCAATTGTTTTTGAATTACAAAATGAAATAATTATTTATAGATAATTAGTAAAATAACTTCTTAAACTATTTATAAATATTCATTGATAAATATAAAAATTCTTATTATTATTTTTTTATTTGACATTTAATTTATTTATGAAACAATATAATTTATTTTGAATTTCATCAACTGATGTTCAAAATTTCGAGTTGCTGATCTTTGTAGAAAATCAAAGTTCAGATTTATGTAAGTGCCCGTAGAAGATAAAATTGAAAAACTACATACAAAAGTGTGATTTTTTTTATATACTACACTGTAATTATAAGCTTGATAATTAAATATTCTGGAAAAGCTTGACTGATAAGAAAGAAGGCAGTATGTTGAGCTAAAATATTAGTATTTGAAAAAAAGCTTTTATAGACAAGTTCTAAAAAAATATGTTTATAAAAAGATGAGTTAAGTCTCAATGTAATGCAATAAATACTGGGAGTACTTATAATATAAATATTTAGTATATAGCAATATAAATAAGAATAGTTTGGAATAGATAAATTCTGAAAAAGGTAAATTGAAAGAGAAATTGGCATAAATGGTGTTTTTAGAATAAATTCCTTAAGAAATATGATGGTTGATTTTTATTTAATTTTATTTTTATAATATTTTTTTTCTTTTACCAAATGTAATTGACATATATTTAATTGTAATTTATTTGAGTCGTTTCTAAAGTTGATCTAATTATCTTAAGTAGTTATGTAAATAGAAATAGTTTTCCTTGACATCGTAGAAATAGCTTTAAATGAATAAAATTTCGATTTATATATTATATAATATTAATCATTTTGAAACAGAGAACAGATATATTAGTGCGTATGAGAATGCAAAGAGGAGAAAAGATAGACACGAATTAAAAATTTTCTTAAATATTTGGTTTAGATTTTACCTTAAGAAAATTTCTAATTGACAATATATTTGTTATCGTAACTATGGCTATATAATAAATATATGTAGAAATACGAATACATGAAAAAATTACAAATATAAGAATATTGTTATTACTGGTAAGTATTTATAAAAATAATTAAAGTTATGACACATGTTATGAAATCATTGTACGATTAAAAACAATTTTTCTGAATGTAACAAATAAAAATTATCAATATAAAGTCGTTTATAACATCTTTTGCATAAATTTTGATTTACTCGTTAACTTACGATTGTTCGTGTCAATCCAAATGATTATATACAAGTGAGAAATTATCGTTGAAGCCCGTATTTCATCAGTTTTTCAAATTTCAATTATTATTATTGTAATATCCTCTCGAATTACCGTGATGAAAATAGCTTCCGCCACAATTACATGTACTTTCCATAGACCCCATAAGCCATTCGCTTGGCGTGTCGAATCAACGCCCTACTCTCAAGTGATTCTACAATCATAAAAATACTTGGACAATCAAAAATTACCACAAAATCGTGTCACTTATTAGGCATATCCAAGTTGGTAAATCGACGTAGAGGTTCTTTTTCAGCTTCAAAGCCGACAAAGCGAAACCAAGCAGATGCTCTCGAGTGGCTCATGGTTTTCGTCGTCATGATACTGTAAAAAAATCGATGCAGCTTCGCTTATAATGAGCTCCTATAGTCGGCCGACTAAGATTAAACTTTGAAGCATTAAGTGGGCGAGGTTATGACGCGAGTTCGCGATCGTAAATATCATAGGAGCGTTTCTATAGTCTGTGACAGACGTATTGGTTTTGAATGTCGCGATTTTATAATGTTCTTATAACGAATTTTTAGCAATATTTTATAAATATTAATATCTCCCTGACAATTCATTTTCAATCAAATCATAAGATTGAAGTGATTATGTTAAATATTATTATAATATGTATTAGGCTATTACGAGTATTGTGAAATGACGAATAATGGTGCATTTCCAAAGCTTCCGACGAGAGAACTGAGAATAATTAGTGAAAATCCGCGATGTTACATTTGATTATTCGTGACTTTGTCAAGCCAAATTGATAGAGGTCTCATTGAGCAGAGAGAAAGAGAGAGGGAGAGAGAGAGACACACGCACACACACACGCAGACACACGCACACATGCACCTACGCACGTACGTATAAATCATTATTCTACGTGATTACCGATCATAGGATAACCTGTATTTTGAGAGATCATTTTCTTTCTACAACTGCCATGTGGGACGTGGTTATTACAAATTATTATGAAAATGCATATATCATTACATAAATCCAGGCAAGTTGTCGCTCGTATAAACAAAAAAAGTCGTAGTTTGCAAAGGAAAGAAATTCCAAGAGACTTTGATAAATCGGTAATGTATTCGGCATAATAAAACAAAGAAAAAAGATAGCGACGCTTAAATTGCGAAATAAGAGATACTTATGCAAAAGGAGTGCGATCGGCTCTATGGCATCGAACTGAAGCATGAGCATACAAAGATAGCGGCAGCTGTAAAAGTTATGGCCAAGGCTTTTTTGAAGACGCGAAGGGTGATGTAGTGGAGAAAAAACGTTCGCTTAATTCGGGGCGCTAATCCAGCCGTGGATTATCGGGAGGCGTCTTTGTTGCAATTTTCCCGCGCTTTTTTCAGTGACGTGATACTCGAAGAGAAAAATAAAGCCGATTTTAAGTTCGGTTAAATTGAAATGGCGCCGCTGAGGGATTCTTCGCTAAAAAATTATAAAACTTTATCAATCGTCGATTATTTATCTCGAAAGGTTGACTGTAAAATTGCCGCCCTTTATTACAGGAGATTCCGTTTCAGATGTACATGGACTGAACGAGCGAGTTGTGCGAGAAGGGACTTGGGGCGAGGGGCCGGGCTGTGTAAATTCATTACATTAGTCTTATTTCGTTAATAAATTAATGGTAGATGTCGATATGCAATTTTTCAAGGTATTTAACAACTAGTTTATCTTACGAAAACTTTTTTTCGTTTCTCTTTTTAAAGAATTTATGAAGAAAAAAAGTCCTACGCCAGGCTGCAATAAATCTGCCAGTGACGCGCGTAAAATAGTTGACGCACTAAGCGATTAGGATTCGTATTATGTTGAAATAAAGATTCGGAATGCGGTGAGTCCGACATTTATTACTATTTACCTCTTCTATTGCTAGCGTATTACCCAGTATTGTAGAGATTTACTTCTCAGATAGGTGTACATAAGCGTAAGTTCCACGGCAACCGAGTTTGTACGTGCGTATCTATGTATTTGTATTTTCAAAACAACCGTTTAACACATTTTTCGCAAATTGTTC